TTAGAATTATTTTTAAATTTTAACCAGAGAGAGAGAGAGAGAGAGAGAGAGAGCAAGCTGCCATGTCCTGGACTCAAAACTACAGTCGGTCATGTGTGAGTCCAGCGTCCCCACACACACCACCTGCCGACCTCGGCAGCTTTCTTATTTAGTTCTGAGAGCAGGTGATCTGAGCCACACTGTAAATCACACGTAGGGTGTTCGTATCGACCTGGCCCAGGAAGGTGGGACACCTAGAAGCAGAAGTTTAACGGTCATAAGGTGCATCTGGAAATGCTTAGTTTAGCGATGGCTGAGGACATAGGTCTTGGTCTCAAAAGGACCCAGAGTCAGCAGAAAAGAATGAGTTTACCTTTCACCAGGTAGGAAGGCTTTGCGACAGGTTCCTGTGCTGGGACCAGGGTCCGGGCTAAGACGTATCTTCCGGCCACTGGACAAAAACAGTCTGCTTAGCAAGATTGCCGTGTAATAGGTGTTACATGACCGCATGTAAGACGGCATGCCTGCCCAGGCCCGTGGAACATTCCAGAACAGTCCTCAGGGGTTGCCTGATTTGCCAATAATCCTTTACTCAATTTAGCTCTATTAATTTGTAAAGATTTTCTTTTAACAATTGACTTTGTAGTCTCCACAGCGGCAATAATAAAGATGGGAAATTCTGGGGTTTTCTACTTTTATTAGAAAGGAAGGTACACATTTTTTTTTTTTTTTTTGCTTCATTTGAAACACCAAACAAGTGTTTTTTTTTTTTTTTTAAACTTGTCAGAGGGCATGTGTGCTCACTGGAGAGAGACAGAGAAAGAGAGAAGGAAAGTGACCATTTCCCTCCATGCGGAATGTAACACCACACCGCAATCCTTTCTTGTCCGTTTTCCATCCTTTGGGGATTTGGGCCAGCCCTGCACACGTGTCAGTGTGTTTGAAGCTCCCACATCTGGAACTTGGCCTGTGCCGTTGGCTTTGTGAGATCCAGCCTCCTGAACCGTTGCACCGCCGGCTGGCCCTTTCGGACCATCGGAAACACTGATCCCAGTGACCACAGCTACCATTCAGGACGTGTGTACCCAGGGATGTATTTTCTTATGGACGGTCTGTGCTTTCCCGTACCTATGAACAGAGGTTTCATTGGAATACATTAAACCAAGAATATAGGGTACCATGGGGTTTATCTGTGTTTATTGCTGTGTAGTAATTCACCCAAAACTCAGCAGCATGAGGCAACAATAATCGGGACCAGCAGTCAGCGTAATGGCTATGTCACTGGACTCCCATGTAGTCGACCGCGGTTCGCATCCCGGACCTGGTGGGTTAAAACTCACACGGGGCACGTGTGCATGTGTGCCCAAGATCCCGAGAGGAGAATGGAGGAGAAGGGATTGGGGCGTGGCCATCCCCCCTGGGGGGGGGGATTTCTCGCTTTCTGTTTCTCTGTCTCTGGCTGGCTGGCGAGTGCATGCGCCCTATAGCAAAAACCTCTCCAAAAAAAAAAAAAAATCCATTTGCTATATTTTATTTTTTAAAAATGCTATTCTTTAGGGGCCAGCAGATGGCAGAATGGTTACATAGTTGGATTCCCACATGGCTGACTGCGGTCCGAGTCCCAGACCCAGAAGCTTGAAACTCACACCAGACACATCAGTGTGCATGCCCAAAATCTTGAGAGGAGAATGGAGGAGATGAGAATTAAGCGTGGCCATCCCCCCTGCGGGGGTGAGTTCTCACTTTCTGTCTCTCTCTCTCTCCAGCGAGCACACATGACCTATAGCAAAAATCTCCACCACCACCACCCAAAAAATAAACACTCTATTCTTCTTCTTTTTTTTATTTTTCATAAGAGAGAGAGAGAGAGAAACAGAGACAGGAATCCCCCACAGGGTCCTCATGCAGCAATCCACCCCAGTCTCAGATCATAGGCGCAGGAGCATGCGCCCAGCATGCTCACTCAGAGTGGTCCTGAGATGCAAATCCAGGACCTTTCCCACATGGCCCAGTTGCGTTACCACTGTGCCATCTGCTGGCCCTGCTTGACATAATGTGAGAGATGGCTGGCTCAGCTGGGTGGTGGCTCTCCATAAGGGATTAACTAGGGCCACCCAAGTGGCCACAGTCCCCTGAAGGCTCAGATGGGGCTCGATGAACCAAGATGGTTTCATCTCCAGGCCTAGTGGTTGTGCCAGCTGTTGACTCCATATGGTCTCTCCAGAGGGGTAGCCAAACCCTTTTATGTGGTGACTCAAGCTTTCAAGAATGTAAAGTAAAGCTGGGGCCAGCAGTTGGCATAATGACTATGTTGCTGGACTCCCATGTAGTCAACTGCGGTTTGAGTCTTGGACCCGGTGGCTTAAAACTCACACCGGGCACATGTGCGTGCGTGCCCAAAATCCCGAGAGAAGAATGGAGGAGAAAGGATTGCAGTGTGGCCATCCCCCCTGGGGGGTGATTTCTCTCTTTCTATCTCTCTGTCTCTCTGTCTGTCTAGCAAGCATACGTACCCTATAGCAGAAAACAAACAAACAAACAAACAAACAAAAAAACCTCTCCAAAGGAATAAAGAATGTAAAGTAAAGCTGTAGAGCTGCTTTATTTTTAGTGTTCTGTTTTTGCCATACGGTGTGTGCACTTACCAGAGAGGAAAAAGAGATACAGAGAGAGGGAATGTGAAAAATCACCTCCTGGGGTAATGGCCATGCCACAATCCCTTCTCCTTCACTCTCTTCTCAGGATCTTGGGCACATATGTACACATGTCCAGTGTGAGTTTCAAGCCACCAGGTTGAGGACGTGAACCACAGTCGGCCATGTGGGAATCCAGCTGCCTTAACGTCTACACCACCTACTGGCCCTCTGCAGAGCTTCTTTTTTTTTTTTTTTTTTTTTTTTTTTTGGCAAGTTTTTTCC